CATTACCCGTAATAATCAATTTTATTATTCGAGTATGTATGAAGCATTATCCTATTTGATCCGAATGGTCCGATGCTCTCTCTAATTAAACACTTGTTGCATCTCTAGTCATGTGGGTGTAATAGGTCAGTAAGTGCAGATGTTCATGTCGATGACGATGAAATAGTCAAGACGCTGGAAGAACTACAAGAAGCTTTCGACAAAGTAGGTTCAAATCTTCTTAGTCGTAATAACATGTCTTTGGTTATTCTGTAGTTTGTTGAATTACCAGTTGATATATAATGTTCAAGTAGAATATACGTGTATGGATAAAAATATGTATACTCAATTATATATTAACACTTATTACAAACGGACAGGAGACAATGTCAGACTATCCTCTTGTTTCTAAATCAAGAGACTTCAAAAAATTCCGTAAAAGTCTATTGGAATTTTTCCATCGGTTGATAAAGCAAGTAAAGCATTCTATACTTTATGACGACGTTTTTTGCGAAAGATTACAAGCATGGATTATGGCCATGTCAAGGTTAGGTCGACCAATTGATTGATGTCAGGTTCCAATCAGATCGCGTCATATGCTTACTTCGACCGATTTCATCCGTGTCAAGTTCTGTCTTTCGACCCTTCAGACATACGGCGACGACCATTGCTCTTGCATTAATGACAGTGTTATGTGAGACCGCGCAAGAGATACAAAGTGAATTTAATATTGCTAGAAGGCAATTGATAACAGAACAAAACAAAAATAAGGGAGCGCGTAATACGAGGAATAAAGATAGAATAAACAGCTTGCACGCGCAGACCAAAGAATTGGAAGATAAGAAAAATCAATTGGATGGTTTTCTCGGAGCCTTTTTTGATGGGTAAGGTTGAGTCTTGGCAAATCCTGTATGGCATTTATTCAAAACCATGACAATTAATAAGGCACTCGGTACGTTTAGTGTGTTTGTCCATAGATACCGAGACGTTGAAGCTATTATAAGGGCAGAGTGTATTAGAGAATTGGGTTTGTGGATAACCAAGTATCCGGACAGGTTTCTAGACGACATTTATTTGAGATATCTTGGATGGCAGCTATCTGATAAAGTTAGTGAAAAAGTTTGTAAAAATGAGGGTTGACGTACGCGCTTCAGTACTCACTATAGTTCTTTCTCAATAGACACCATCTACACGAATAGAAGCCATCAAGTCACTTTCTCGCGTCTATGCAAATGAGACTTTTATAAGAAACCTTCGCCACTTTACAGAGAGATTTAAGAGCAGGTTGTTGGAAATGGCGTTGAGAGAATCAGATATCAACGTCCGGATACCTAGCATTCAACTTCTGACTCAAATTTCTAAAGCAGGGCTATTTGAGGACGAAGACCGAGCAAAATTTGCGCTATTGATATATTCAGACAATTCCAAAATCAGAAAGGCTGTGGCCACTTTCATAATGAGCACGTTACAAGAGGACTATATTAGTATAGGGTTGGAGAAAGTACGAAGTGCCACAAGTGAAGGATCGACTAGGAGGAAGAAGGCATCAAGTGCTAAAAATATAAAAGAAGATTGGGTAAAGTTCAAGTGTTTTGCTGAATTTCTGGTCAAGTGTGGAGCTGAAATCAAGAATGAACGACTGTCTGTGGAAGAGGAAGATCACATGGAAGATGAGAACGAGTCTGAGACGGATGCTAACTATGGAGATGCTGCTATTACGCAGCGAATTGGAGGAGGGAAGAAAAGTAGAATTGGATTAGCTGTACACGATCTTTGGAGTGAATTGAGTTTACTCCATGATTGGAAGAGTTTAGCCGAGTATTTATCTAAAGATCATTCATTGAGGTCAGGTGGTAGTTTATCGAGGCTATCGGACAATGAATCAGTTCCTAGTGATCCTATTGAAGAAGGATATCGGCTTAGTGAGGAAGAAGAGACAGTTCTTGTTGAAGTACTGGTTTCATGTCTGAAGCTGCTCGTGACTGAAGTGACTAATGTTAAGGATAAGAAAGATGTATGTGTCTTTGAGTGACCGAGTAACGATGGAATAGGTTCATTGTAGTTTGATATATTGAATTTAACTTTGTGTTATTGGTTTTGATTCTGCAGGTTGAGACGCAACTTGAGCAAACACGCGGAGAAATATCACGAACAATGGCTAAGCTTTTACCGCGTTTACTGACAAAATATGCACCAGACGCTGGCCGCATAGCGGAAGTACTCCAAATTCCGTCGATAATGGGTGTCGAAGTGTACATGGACTTGAGAATGAACAAGGTACTCTTTGATAATAAACTTGTGTTGCGACTATATCACGTCACTGTAGTTACATATTTTCTATTTATAGGCATTCTCGTCTCTTGTGGATGATATCAAGAAGCTTTTTCTCAAGCATACACATCCTTTAGTCCTTGCGCATGCTGCTGAAGCAATTCGGCATATCATGCAGTATGAAAATTTCGCTTCATTAATGGAGACGACTCTAAGTGAATTACAGGAGGAAGTAGTAATAAATTTTAAAGAGGAATGCGAAACTAATGTGTGTATTACTTGGGATGTATGTGAAGGTAACGGTGATTTTAAGGCTAATCGTTTCATTGGTTACTTTTATAGGGTTTAATCGATAGTCATCTCTCGAGTGATCAAGTTCATGCTATAGGGGCTTCTTTGTATCGACTAGAGCAACTAATAAGCGTTATCAATGCGGTCGAATCAGTCGAGGAAGGAGAGGACGATAAGGATGTGTCAAACTTGGTGGTGACTTTGGCAAAGCGAGGGTTATTAGGTATTCCCGAAGAGGAAAAGGTAAGTTGAAAGCGATGATAATACGGACGATTTATAATTGTTCAATAGTTTCCAGTATATGACAAAAATATGGTCTCTTTCAGATCGTTCTATCAGCGATTAATTTCCTCTGGCATTATATTCTGTGGAAAGTTAATAATATATTTCCAAGCGAGACCGAAAGCGAAGATATTGATATAAGTACCGAGATTGCCGAAAATCTAATGAAGAGAAGGGATAATATAGTTGAAGCCTTATCTGAGCTGGTATTGGATGAAGCAGGATCTTCAAATGTCAGGAGAAACGTAAGACACTTTAAAAAATTGAGAAGTGCGGGACTTTACTTTTTATACACTCTGTATTTACATCTTTCGCCTTCGTCTTGTACATAATTTTTCTAATCTGACTAACGTTTCTCTAATTTGCATAGGCATTCATAAACACATGCAATATTTATTGGCTATTTTCTAGTGATATATTTTACTCATCAGATAATAATAATGTTACGCGGTTACGACTGACATGTCCGTCGCATATGCAGCGACACTTTGCACAATACGTTGAGAAGGAGCTAGAAAGGCTTCGTGGTTTGGTGGATGCTGCCATAACACATGCGTCTGAGGAGATAGCAAATGACGTGGATGAGGATGAAGAAGAACAGGTTGTAGAAAAAAGAACAAAGACTAGTAAGTGGTGAATGATGGCCGACATTGGCTGGTTGATTATTGTTGGGTCCTTAAATTATAATTACTGATATATTTATTCCACTTTAGCAAAAAAGGATCTTGACGCAATAATAAGCCTTGATTTAAAATATAGCATAATGGAGACGGCTGGATCGTTATTACGAGCTACTAGAATAGGGGTATTTAATGCCGATTACACAGCAACTGTCGTATGTCAGTATGGCCGGTTTGGTAATGATGTAGATGAGCTCATTCGAAAAGTGGTGCAGGAATTCAAAGAGCGTGCTACAGAAGAAGGATCATCTATATTATGTCGCGTTTGTATTGATTCGATGCAAAAGGTTGTATTTCTTTATTGTCATGTTGCAATAATACACAGTGCCGTATTGTCTATTCAAATATTAATTATAATTATATATTATGGACATTATCGTTACAGTCATTCGAGCTCTATGTCGACGATAAAACTTCGACCATGGAGTCTACGAACCTGCTTGCTCGTGTATTTGCACATGCTCTACAACTACGTGATATATACGATAATACACCACGAAGAGACTCTGAACACATTACACATATGCATTTTCAGGCTATTCAATTTATAACATCAAAGATGGTGGAACTCAATAATGAAGAAGACCGCAAAGCAACCAAAGTAATCAAATACTTCAAGCCATTAACACTGCTGCTAGGAGGCATCAAAAGCGCTGATGCAACAAGAATGTAAGAAATCTGGCCATTTTATGTAATGATGCTTTTGTCCTAGCTTATTCAGAAATTAATCATTCGTACTATAACAGCAATTCCAAATTACAAGAGGAATTTCAAAACAAAGGTCTGTCTATACCCGAAAATGAAAGAGAGTGGGAACCGTACTATTCTTATACACAAAAACTGCACAAGATCCTGGGTAAAATCGCAGAAACTTCAAGAATACTAATGGACATCGAGGTGAAGCAACCGAGAAAAAGAAGGCGGCCTGCACGTGAAGAACGACTTGATCTTGAGGAACTTGTACATACGCAAACTCCAAATAAGCAGTCAAAGACAAAGTAAAGTGCCATCAAATTCATATATCATTATATATAAAAAGAGTTTATCGTTACATAAAAGCAACGGCGTGTTTATACAATCCCTGCATCGTGGGAAAAAATATTGTTTTTATAATAAAAGAAGCAATTAAGTCGTCACCTGGAATAATTTAGATTGTGCCATTGTACGTTTCATACGATTGGAATAAAGCAAAAACAATTACAACCGTTCAAGCTTGCATGTTGTATATGACTCTGTTATTGTCTATATTGGCAGTACGAGATGGCATGAATGGGTAACTAGGAGACTGTGTTTTCATTAAATCGGGAACGAATTGCAAAAAATATAGGTAATACAAGTCAGACAGGTTACATACTTTTGATGTCATAATCTTTAGTGACTTTCGTGTAGTTGGCACAGACACAAAACCCATTCAACTATAGCAAAAACGCAATTGCTGAAGGTGACAAAAATACTTTTTATTCCCAATAATATATGAAGGAACCATATCGAATATTTCTATACCGCATCATCCTCTTCCTCGTAGTCATTGTCACTGTCGATGACATCATGACTATCATAGAAATCTGCCTCATGGTAGTCCGAGTCTAGTATTTTTTTGGTAAACCATTCGCGCAAAGAATTTACATGGCCCAATCGCATAATGGACGGTATATAAGTTTATGTTATAGAGCGTGAATACTATGCCACAAGTCTATTCCTACCTTGGTCTGAATACACTTCATCTTCGTCCGGATAATCATGAGTATAATGGTCCTCAGCTATTCCATCAGAATCAACGTGTTATTATAGAGTATTGAATTTGAAATTATGTTTTCTGGATGTATTTACCGTTCGAATCTTCGTCCTCTGTAAAATATTGAGAACCACTTGAATCCTCATCTGGAAGCACTTCGTTTTCACCGTCAGCCCATATTCTAAGACATGATAAACAATTGTTAAAAAAAGTTATTCACAAACATAGTAAATCAGTTATTCATATGTTCCAAAATCAAATGCACTTACGCTGACGCAACATTTTGCCAACGATTATTCGCAGTCGGCGGGTTTGAATCATCTTCTTTGTAGAATATATCATACACATATTCAATGCCAGCTTCTGGTGGATGTTCAATAGGCCTGTCTTGCACTGAAATAAATATCTTGTGATTAGCCCTCATGCAGATGGCATATATGAATGACATGATCAACGAATGCCAAGATGACAACTCTGCTTACATGTTAAATACTCCTGAACGAGGGATGCAAAGTGGTTCATTGTTTCGGAATCATCATTCCTATCATCAACAAAAGAGTTACAAACAAAAGAGTTACAAACAATTCTTCCAAAAAGACCTATTCACGCTCGTAACAAGTACAAACATACTTTTGAACTTCGGTCTCCTTCACCGCATCGTACATCTTGAAGGTATCCTCCATCACTGTATCCTCCTTCTTATTATCATCGTCATCGTCATCATCATCATCATCATCATCATCATCATCATCATCATCACCGTTTGCACTATTCAACAAACATGTTAATTTCCAAAAATAAATTCCGTAAAAATGGTTTCGGCATACTTGATTAGACGTACGAATTAAATAATCCTTCTTTCCCTGCGAACCGATTCCTGTTAATGACTCTATATCTCTCTCTACGCATGTCGTCATTAAACTGGGCAATTTGTTGTTCACGTGTTTGCTTGCTTCGTCTAGCATCAGAATCGCGAGTACGTAGAGTTTCTTTTCTGTTTACTAGTCTGGCTATTCGCTCCTATTAAGCCAAATCTTTAGTGGATCAATAATAGTACAATAATGGCGGTATAACCAGGTGCATAATGGCGGTATAACTAGGTGCATATTTACTCTCAATTGCGTAGTTTGCGTCGCATCCTCAAAGCTTTTCTCATCAACTGTCTCTGCATATCTGAAGACCGAAGGCGAAAACGACGTTTCTGTAAACGAATGATAGTATTATATCACTGAATCTAGCGAGTGTTTGCAATGCTTAATATTAATTCATACAAAGACCGACCACTCCGTTGGGTGATCATATTATCAAGTTTATTGTCGGCAGCCCGTCTTGCTTTCTTGCCACCACGGTTATTATCATTAGTTAATAGTTGCTGAACAACTAGAATACCAAACTTTAATTAATGCGCGGAAGCCATAAATCGAGTTCTAAAGTATACAAAAAGACAAACCGTACCGAGTGCATCAAGAGGTTCTTCGTTTCGCTTCCTCTTTAACCGCAAAATTGTGAACTTCATGACAAGCTTTCATTGCAGCTAGCCCTCGTCAAGAAAAAAGAACGCCTGATTTACAATTTTTCGGATCTGCATAAATGTAGCATCTGTTAGGTAATTCAAGAGTATTTGGGACTTGTTTTTTGGATAAACAACTAAAACAGTATCATGATTTGGTGCTAGGTATATATATAATCATTATTAAAATGTCATGCTTTATTGAGTTTTTCACGTCAATGTTATGACATTTAGTACTCAGAATAATAAGAGTAATGTTTCTGAACAGTTTAAATTACTCTTAATCATCAACAATAAACAGAATCGCGCATTTTAAATGTTTCTTGCATAACCAGAACTATATTATAAACATGACCCTACCTAATATTATTAAAAAGCTGAAAATCGCAACGGTCTATCTATGTTTCGCAAGACAAGACTCGCCGAGTATTTGCTTGCGATTAATTCTATTATTCCAAGAAATTTTGAGAACAATCCGTCCTGGTTTGTAAAAATCTTCAGTCTTATCTATTAAGCCACAACTAAGTCCAGCAAATTCAGTCTTCAAATGCTGTTCAATTTCTCTCCCAAACATACTCAGGAAAAAGTACCCACACTCTGCAAATGGTCTAACAATGTCATTCAACATGTTTAAATCAGGGGAGACTTCAAATACTTCCTTGTTGTTGTAAGCAAAAACTATTTCAATGATGGTCTCTCCAACTGCCATTGCCTGCCAAACACACGCCTTTAACATTTCCACAAATTTGTCAAGCATCAAAGCGACTGGATGCTGCTCATTTAATCCAATTTCCTCTCTAGAAATCTGAAAAAAATCAACTTCCTGTAATATTTCTTCTCTTGTCACTGTACTTGAGCAGCAATCTGCATGAGGCTTCCACATGATCTTTCCTGTTCGATAGTATTGCATGATATAATGAAATACACGTCCATCCCTATCGAAGAAATACTCATTCCCATTGTACGGATGAAGCATTGATTGATTACGATCACCAAACATTGTACCTAGGAAAGTATCTGGATATGCAGTGAGGGTGCTTCTGTATGTTTCGAACTAAGCAAAATTTGATTAGATCACAACTTTCAATTTTTCTTGTTGATATAAGTTATGTGAATGGCAATAAACGCAAAATCAATTATGAACCTTCACACCGCCAACATTTAGTATTATCCGTTCATCTGCCTTAGGTTGTTGCTCCTTCCCCTCCTCACTCATTTTTTGTATAATATTGTTCAAACAAAAGTAGAAACTATTCAGATCGAGCATACCTAAAGCTTAGTTCCAATTTAGCAACTGGTTGATAGATTCGGCCAATCAACAAGTCAGCAGTCAGTGATTGGATGATCGTGAACAATACTAACTGACACATAGAGTGTGATCATGTCAGCCCTTGAATATTAGGTACGTTTTTATCATACTAAAATTAGATATTTCTCTATTGTTTATTTCTATTGATAGGAAAAGACATACTGATGGCAAAATTGTGAAAAATATGTCTCAAATGAGTTAGATAACAACAAATAACTACTGTATTAGCGGCAACTAATGTAATTCATACTCTGATTCTTTAGATGCAGATAATAATATAAATATTGATATCATAATTTATTATTGATCAATTTTTATTTGCAATGTTCGACTCGAGCCTTGAGACATACTCAATCGAATTCAATTCTGCCAGAATTTATACTGCCATTTTCGATCAAATGAATCCAAATTTAGTAATAAGCTGCAAACATACATAATTATGGGTACACCCAGTGCAGTGGACTTCAGATATTTTTCATGGGAATTTACTTCCACTCTTGTTTCCAAATTTTTTGGATGTTCAAGATCTTTGACCAAGTTCACTCCACAAATGCTCGATTGGATTAACGTCTGGTGACTGAGAAGGCCAATAAATTGTGAGCGTTTAGCTGTTGTTAATTCACGGGGTTTAAAGCAAAATATGATTGTTCAGTAATGTTGATCATATTTTAAATTTTATCGGTAATACAACTTGAGAAAAATGCAAAATTATGAAATTGATGACCGTTTTATCCTATTTTGTTGCGGTAAAAATCAAAATTTAATTTACTTTTAAAAAACAATTCTTTCATTATAATTATGGGAAAAAAATTTCTCAAATGCAACTAGCCCCAACCCGTTAATCAGAATGCGACATCTGGTGCCCAATTGCAATAAAATAATAATTTCGCTTCAACTTTGCGTTAGCCATTCTTTCCTTTTGTAATATAACATTAATATTAGAGTTTTAACCAACGTCATATATGTTGTATGAGTTTCTCGTAGGTGAAAACTAGTGATATCATGACAACAATTTTTTTTCACGTACAAAGCTTTGTACGCGTATGTTTGTTTTGGCAGAGATTAAAAATCACTTGAAATTGAGTATCTGGATGTGCAGACAATTCGCAGATAATATTCACAGGGGTATAAAAGGTGTGTGGTTTTCGATAATTCGCTTTATTGACACTGCTTTTATCAGCAGATGATTTGCTTTTGCACGATAAACTCCAAGTTGCTAATTCTCTGCAAGATAAACATTACATTTTGACCAACAATGACAAAATCGGGTACTAATACAGCCAGTGTGTATGGGATAGTTTATTACTGTGGTTCGAATATCCAACTTCGTGTTATAATAACAAATATATATATCGCCTTGTATGAACTTCCTACTATATACATTTTATTGACATTCTCATAAACATTATTCAATCTAATTTAAATATACAGGAAGACAAACAACGCTTTCGTTCAACTAAAGTGGACAAATTTATAAAAGATTAATATAAATTGGGTACTAGAATTTCATGTAAAATTAAGTGTTGCCTTAGAAAAGACTCGAAGCTTTATTCCGTCACTTAGCAAACTTAAAACTTATTGATTGGTCTTTGGTTTCCCGCTTTTTGACTCTAGTTCAAGAAAATACTCACTGGTGAGAGAATTTAAACGTTCTCTATATTATTGTGAGACTGAACTCAAACCTATGCTATCAAGGAAGATTAGGGTCGCCAACACGAGAACGACTGGTTGTTTAGGGTTTATTTCTCATAATCATGTTTGAAAGATTATAACAATCTTTAAGAACCTGCACTATATACCCTTCTTAGTTCTTCAATATCGACTTTAATCAGCGTAACAGGACATTTGCCATGTTCTTCTACATATGGATATATGCAAGAGTAGCAAAAGACATATCCTGATGGAAGTGCCGTTGGATTTTTTAGCTCGTCTATACAAAGCGGACATGTATTCGGTGTATCGGGTATACCAATACCCTCTGGATCAGGCTGATCAAAGCAAAAATTTTCAAGTTAGAAATCTGAGTGTCTACGAAGATAAAGTATATAGAGTCTACGATTCTCACACATATCGAGTAGTTGTCAGAATCTCGTTGATCTTTTACTGACCTCAATTCTTTCTGGTGGTGGAACATTCACCGTCGAATCGCCAGCAATTCTCTTGGCGTAATCACTTGAATACCACCATTCCAGAAACTTATAGAAGAATATAGACATTGGTAGGATAATTTTTAAGAGATTTAATATTCCCGCAAGTCCAACGATCAATGATCTACGACAAGCTTCTAGCCACGTTGATGGAGGTGCTGGTGTTTGGCGTCTACTTTTCCGTTTGAAATACTCTTGCTAACATTACATAACGAAAACATGTTATCGTCATGTGGACGTCCAATTTGAAGCGTTTCGCAAGCAAAAGTGAACACTTACATAATCTTGCAAACTCATTCGTCGAACTTCAATTCCAAGTAATTTTAACCATGGAGAATGATATCGCGTCTTTTCAGCCAGATATGCAACGACAAAAATCCATATTGAGCTATGGTATAGAAAGTTTATCCAAGGATACCATCGTTTGAATCCTCTTTTAAAGTAACTTATGAGGCGATCTGATCTATTCATCTAATAGTCGGTTATAAGCGGTAAATGATAATGGTTGCGTTTAACGGCAATGATCGATAGGCTAACTACCTGCGATGTATCTTCATAATCTTCCTCATCAGAGTCATCCCCAAGTAGCTGCGCCTCAATACCTCCACCAAGGCGTTCGTACAAGTCGTCGAGCTTCGCCTTCACATATGGAAGTCCTACCTATTATCACAGTTGGCTGTTATTACTGAGTGAACGCGGGAAATTTCAATGTAAGATACAATGCGAACTAATAGTCACTCACAAGAAAGATAAGCGACCTTGATACATCGACATCTCTTAGCTTTTTCAGTTCTTTATGGGATGTTTCTTCTTCTAATAACACCTTTCCTTTTCGTAAACTTCGAATCCGTTTCAGTCCGTAGAAATTCTCAGCAAAAGAGCCACCTAATAGACAAGTATTTAACATCTAGGGAAAATGCGTTGTGCTTAATATGCGATTACGTCAACTAAACAACATACCCCATTCCTTGAGATAATGTCTTTCAACAAAGAACATAATTAATGCGTAGAATTCTTCATGAGCATTGACTATTCTCAATAGGTATCTCGGATATCTTTGAGCGTAGATCTAATGCCATTTTTCAATTAGTTTTCTATGCTGTCCTGGATCAATGGACACAGAATTAATATTCATAAGTAAATACCTACGGAAAGAACGTATTTTACGGCCGGCTGTAATAAATCACGCATTTTCTCTTGTGATATCAGTTCAAATAATGTGGGACGGTAAATGTCCGCACTTGAACCAAGATCACTCATAAACTCCATAGTGTGTTTGATCTAGTGAGCCGAACAAGACTGTGAGAATTAGAAAATGTTAAGTACAAGTGAGAAATGATATACTGCATAAGGAAACGCTTTAGATTTGGGTGCCGATCGAAATTCTTTCGACCTGAAAATGAATACGATGGAAGCCAGCCAATAAACGTACGGCTGGAAAATATTTTCTCCACCTTACGAACCTGGATATAACGAAGTGGTCTGTTCCAGCACTTTTCTTCTCTATATCCAGGTTTCCTCTTTATAAGGAAGTCATATACAATTGTAGCTTCGTTATAAACGGGTCAGTCACGTGCCATACGTATTACCCGCCAATATTTTCGATATAATTTATCGTTCAGATGGAAATTTAAATAAACCGACTAGTACTACACATTGAAGGTCACGTATTCCTCAAGAGTAGTTTGTCGTGCTAATTCTACACTTGTTTGAGAGATTAAGTTAGAAAGCGATTATCAACATTCAAATTCTTTTGCAAACATGTTACGATTCGTTCTTCAAAGGTTCTTCTTCCTCTAATGTTTCAATATGATTAACTGTATCTACAGTCTCTTGGAACAAAACGTTCTCGTCAGAAGAGGAATGTTTTTGTCGATATCTATGTACTCTTGTATGTCCATTGGTTCATCTATTGGCAAACACTGAAAGAGATCCACTATGCCTCTTTCGACCTCTTCGATTTCATCTGCCACGGGGATTGAGGGTGCAGAAACTGGTAGAATATCGGCACGTGTCCGTGATAATATCTTTTACGCAACCTCCATGCTTCAACCACGAAATTAATCGCATCAAGTATCGTAATTTTAATCGCTCGTCATAAAGATGAATCAAATGTGAACATGATACTGAGCCTATATAATAATAAGTGCTTTAATAAGAAAATAAAGAATAACATTTAATATGTAATTAAAATAACAAATTCCAGACCTTCAGACTATAAATAATGCCTTGGTCAAGGGGCTGAATTTGAGTTGACGTGTTTGGTGGTAGAAAGTGAACTTTTTACATTGGATCATTGACTTTATGACTCGATACGGTATTATTATCAGCAAGTTGCGGTTTTTGAGGCGGAATATATTGTTGACCCTTCTAAAATAATTCTCGAATATATCGGTAGAGAACAAAATAATATAATATAACAACAGTTCCAATAATATAACGGATATTATTATTTTATTATTACAAGAAATGAAGCCACCCCAGAGAAGTAGTTCCACTTCAGTTTTATCTTCAGCAGTAACCAACTTGCTTTTTCCGCCTGAGGGAAAGTTTATATAATTGAATTTTATATCGACGGTTGCACATTATTGAAATGAAGGTACCATTCGAATTCATCACTCTAGTACTCAATTTCCCTTTCAGACGATAAATGCAACCCCCCCCCCCCCATTTTCTGCAATTGCAACAGATTTTGAATACCGTATTAGTATTGCAGGTATGAGAATATTTCGATCAAAATTTCGGGTAAGTTTAGCGGGTGTAATTTAACATATGTTATGCTTTTCTTTATAGATTCGTTTATTATATAAAAAGAAAATTGTATCGATTGTATTATCAAAGCTAGCTCGTTTAAGTCCCTTTTTCCGTAATGTATACTCAATGTAGGGAAGCAAACCACAATCAAATGGTAAACTCAGTGAGATCTATTCCTTGTCGTTTGCATATCCCCGCTTTTTTTTATCACGGTTTTTTTGGGATTGTAGTTTTCAACCCTAACCAGGAAAGTCGGTTTTGTGTGTCATTATACACTCGAGTACCAACTCAACCATTTGGGAAGGACAAGTGCTTCTCTGCGGTGATAACATTTGGACAGCCACACGTCGGAAATGATATCTTTGCATGTATTCCAATGGTTCTGAAAAGCTCGATCTCTTCTTTTCGGCGGGATCGAGTAGTTCTTTTAAGAGGTAGAGTAGTATAGATATTGGTGATTACCCACTTGGCCGAATCGCAAGCAATTCGAGATGGAGAGGGAGTCGGACGATTGACTGCTCGTATCGACGCCAAAATCCGACCCGAGGTGGACATTATGTATACTACTAGGACCAAATATAAGAGAGAACGGTTAGTTAATGATTTCAACTTTACGTTGAATTAATGATAGTTACACTATAAGCTAAGACAATAAGTTTACGACAGTTTGTTGAAAGAAACAGTAAGCTTGGATAGGGTGTGCGTGTGGTGGGTGGTCGTGAGTGGTATCAGAGAGAAAATAAGCAGAAACATAACACTGTGTCTTCCCGGAATACATACCACTTCGAGAGGGGGGGTTTCCAGAGTATTATTTTTTTTGTCGTTATATATGGTAGCTGACCTCTGGGTAAGGAAAGCATCTCACTGTAAACAACAAGAGGGGTTGGGGACGATAAGTAATCGGGGGTGGTGTCAGAGAGAAAATAAACAGAAACATAATATTGCGTCTTCCCGGAATACATACCGCTTCGAGAGAGGGGGGTTTTGAGAGTGTGTTTTCATCTACCAGTACGCCCAGTTACAATCACTCTATGTGTGCAATGACTTACTTGCGGCAATTTGCCAGACTGTCGTACATTTTTGTTGCGTTTTGTATATCCTTCTGGATGTTCCGATACTAAAACCACGGTGCAATTTTTGCTACAGGTCTGCTGAAATCCATGATCCCATCTTGCAGGAGAATTACATATTAACAACATCTTCGGGAGCAACTTTCAAGTCATTACAGTATTCAAGCATTCCATCGACTAGAATAGCATCATCGTCTTTGTCTATGCACGAAACATGAGGGCAACTAAGTATGGATTGACCAGAAAAATAAAACCACAATTTGCAACATATTCCATACCTTTATATTTTTGGGATATCTGGTTAAGCCTATAAACATCGACGCCTGAAGACGCGGGTGCAGCTGCATATCCTTTCTGAACGACTGGCTGATCATTAAAGGAGTCTGCGATATCTCTAATCGTAAATAAATATTAATAATACATAATACAATATTAGAATAAGGATTCATGATTTTTGCGCGGATGATTGCAAATTGTATTTGTCATTACAGTAAAACCGGAACCAAACTTTTAACGTATCCGCTCAGCTAACCCTTCTTGAAACCCCACATAGAAAACACAGAATTAGTTTAATGGCTCACGTTTTTATAGTCTTTTAGTCGTATGTACTCGAGCGGAGCAAGAAGAATACGACGCGCACCTCGTCGATGGAACGGCTTCTTTCCGCACTCCTTATTAGTCGTCCATTTTAGTGGAGGAGAGTAACTCCTGAAAAACTCCTCAGCAAAAAAGAAAAGAAAAAAAAGTAGCGCATAGCCAATAAACGATTGTGTCATGTGCAGATCTTTTGTATTGCGTACAGATTTCCTATTACTTACTGTTACTATGTTTATTTCATTATCATACATTCATAAGCTTCTTCTTCACAATAATTGTTCAGGAGACATTAGAGCGAAACTGCATTTACTATCTTTCATTCGAACAGATTGGTTTTAATATTGAATCGCTTGCAATAAGCTAATAAAGTTTTAAGACAAAAGTCTAACGATGTTTCGTTATGCAGGTTGATTTTCAGGGCATGATAGGGTACTGTATATGTATAAATTTGTTATAAACATATCACTTTCAAACCATTTCCTACCGTCCATATCTTACCCTACAAAACTACTCATATGTTACAAGATTCCAGTAGACTTCTCGTGCATATTATGCGAGTTGAGTTCTGCGGGAGGAATTTGGCATCGTACGCGCGTGTTTTTGACATCTGATCGTATTACTTGCACAGCAAATGTAACGAAATAAGCGAGTTTCGTCTACTTGCTCAATTTACTCCCCTGATAATGCTAACAATCATATCACTAATACTATTATATACCAACTTTTTTTTAAACAAACAGTCAAACAACTGAATTTTTTGTCCTACATATAACTTTATATAAAAGAATTTTGTAGATAATTGCTTAGCTTCCTCAAATATAACCATCTCCTGACATCAACAAAAGAGTGAAATCCATAACCAAATTTGTTACAAGATCATCTCTAACTCAGTTCCTCCTGATCGGAAATTAAATGGGGGTTTTGGGAGAGCGATTTTATCTTTCGCGTAGGTGTGTTCGCCGACCGGTGGATGTTACCAAGCTTAGCTCGTACTATCGCCCTTACTACGATAGTTGTACAATTAAGACTGAATTAAGCCTCAAGTGACCTATTTTAATTATGTGCGCTTCTCACTCCCTATCCGAGTTCGTGAATACAAATAAGGATACTTCTAATAGAATAATAACGACAATTATTCTATTAAAGAATCGAAGGGGAATAATACTATTTTAAAATTAAACAGGGCTATCTTTGTTTGTCGACTAGTCGGTATCCGTCACTTGTTTAATTAACAATATTCGTCTCGATAATTAATTATGAACTCTCGTTCCGTTATTCACGTAATTGATCCGCGGACAGCTTATTGGCTTGATCAAATCAATGCTATTCCGTTACAGAAAATCATCACACTACTCAATATCAAGTTCATTTTAGTATTTGAGAAAAGTCCAATTGTTAATTGCTAAATTGTCTTTTGCATGGCTGATGGGAAAGTTTGGTTTGTTGGGGGAGATATCTGTTTGATTGTTGGGCTTTTGGAAAAGACAGGGATTGATGAAAAATTTACTCTTTACTATCACTACAAAATAAAAATAGATATCTTGCTTTTTAGAATTTTACTTTATTAAAGCAATTTTATTTGATGAGCTGCATAATAAGGTGTTGAGTGGTATATGGAGATATAATTCAAAATTGTGTATGTTACCAGATAATATTGGATAATTGTTTAATGTCCTACTATGATGTACAGGCATTATTGGATAACTTTATACAAAATGAATTTGATGAAATTAAGGAGATCAGATGTTGTGACCAAATATAGAAATAAGACCAGAATATGTTGCTCTCTCAAATATTTTAAGAATTGTAATCAGTCAACAAATTATTTATTTACAAGTAAGTTAAGGC